TCTGTTAAAGAAACTGGAAGGAGAAAGGAGCACTAGTATATGCTGGGTTTGTTCGTAACACTCTCATCGACCGTTTCTGGTTATCTTCATTCCCTTTGTGATTACCATCTGGCATGATTCCCTTGCTCCAAAACAGTGTTGTCCTCCTATCTGCCTTTGTGCTTTTATTATCAAATATATTACATTTCTATATGTTACAGGCCCAACAACACAATTATATACATATTGTTTTAGGCAATTGATTTTTAAACCAATTAAAGGAAGAAAGGAGGAAAATGCACTTATACTGTCTTTTATAATTGCATAATTACCTTCATTAGTGTTCTTTGGGCTTGTTTTCTTTTGGGGTATTTTGGGTGTGTGTGTGTGTGTGTGTGTGTGTGTGTGTGTGTGTTCACGTTCTAATTGCTGTCTGGAATCACTTGCTTTCAGCCTGAAGAACTCACTTTAGTGTTTCCTGTAAGACACATCTGCTAGTAACAAATGATCTGTTTTTGTTCACTTAGGGATGTCATTATTTCTCCTTCATTTTTTGGAAGATAGTTTTGCTGGATATAAGATTCTTAGTTCATAGATTTTTCTTTCAGCACTTGGAATATGCCTCCCTGCCATCTTCTGGTTCACTGTTTGTTCTGAGAAGTCAGCTGTTAATCTTTTGGGATCCCCTTATACATGATGAGTCATTTTTTTCTCTTGCTGATTTCTAGATTTTTCTCTTTATCTTTGCCTTTCAATATTTTTTAGTATCACATGTCTGGGCATGGATCTCATGTCATTCTATTTGCAGTCTGTTGACGTTCTTGGATGTATAAATTAATGTTTCTCCTCAAATTTGGGAAGTTTTTGGTCATTATTCTCTTGAACATTTTTTCTGCTCTCCTCTCTACTTTTGGTACTCCCGTTACATGGGTGTTAGTGTGATTAATGGTGTGCCCCATTTCTCTGAGGCTGTCTTCTGCCTGCTCAGATCAACTATTAAGCCCCACAGCCAATTTTTCATTTTTGTAATTTACTTTTCAATTTCAGAATTTCCATTTTGTTCAGTTTTATAATTTGCATCTGTATTATTTGATGAAACAGTATCATCACCTATTTCTTTAGTTCTTTAAGTATGATTCCTTTAGTTCTTTGAACATATTGATAATAGCTGCTTTGATATCTTTGCTAAGTATCTGGGCCCTTTCAAACAAAGTCTCTGTTGCCTGTTTTTTGTTTGTTTTTGCCATGTTTGGATCACACTTTCTTGTTTCTTTTCACATTTCATAATTTGTTTACAAGTGGACATTTTAGGTACTATAGCATAGCAATTCTAGATATTGATCCTCCTCATTCTATTTCCCCCCACCCCAAACCCAAGTTCTTGTTTGCTTATTTGCTTAGTGACTAGACTAGTTCAACAAAACCTGTTCCACTACCACATACTTCTGCTGTCACTCCTTAGGGGACACTGCCTTGGGCTGTGATGTTCTTACGTTTCCTTAAGTGGCTAAACTCTTCCAAGTGCCTCTCTGACTGCTACTCTGCCTGATCTCCCTGTTAACTTCTGGTGGGGCTGTTCCTATTGTCTTCACGTCCAGCTGTTAGCCTCCACTAACGTCTAGTTGTTCGATCTACTGTTTGGGCCCCCAGCATATAATGCCCCTACGACCTGATTCAGTTCAAGTCAGGCTCCTGCTTAGGGAAACTCTTCCAGGCCATTCCTTGAAGCTTGCTCTGACCCCAGGAGGACTCTTCTCATCTGTCTCTCTCTGGTTCTCGCTGTTAAACTCCCAGTTAGCCCGTCACTCTGCTGTGGTGGAGCTGAGTCCCCTCTTAATTGCTCGCCACCAAAACTTTCGTTATTTTCAACAACACCTTGGGCTTTTATACCAGTCTAGATTCGAAATCTTAAAATACACAAATTCCTAGAAAGCTATAACTTAATAAGACAGATTCAAGAGGAAAAATAAAAGTTGAATAACCCTCTTTATTAGAGAAATATAATCAATATTTTTAAAACTATTCCATAACAAAATGTCAAGCCCAGATCATTTTTACTGGCAAATCCTATAATGGAAAAAGGAGCACATTCTCCCAGCCATTTTATGAGGTTAGCAAAAAGCTTGGTAGCAAAACTAAGGACAAAACAAGAAAGAAAAATAAAGGCCTATCTTATTCATACACACAGATGGAAAAAAATCCTAAATAAGATATCGCATAATGAATCCAAAGAATTATCGCTAATTTTGTAGGTTTAACAGTGGTTTGGGGTTTTAAAGAAAGTATCTGCAATTTTAACAGTTGCATTGAAAGTATGTAAAAGTGAAATGGCTTAAGGTCTGAAATTTGCTTTAAGATACACTTAGGTTTTGGGGCTGAGTTCTTAAATATTCTAGAATCTGGATATAAGTTTATGGGAGCTTGTACTATTATTGTCTCTGCTTTTGTCTGTATTTGAAAAGTTTTATAACACAGACTAGAAACATTGGTTTGATTCTATATAATTGGCTTTTAAAAAGAGAAAGACAATAGACACACATGATGAGGTGTCAGAAGCCAATGTCACACATGGACAGAAATGTGACAGTGCAGAATTCAACTTTTAGACATTTGACTGGGCTCATCCAAAAGGAATCCCAGTGAGGCAAACAGTGCTGTGTGGTCTGGGAGGCCGAGCAGGCTGTGCTCCGCTGGGCAGGCCCGCTCCGGGCAGTGGGAGAAGTCCCGGGCCGTGCTGGGGGGAAGGAGGCTTCAGACTCACAGTGATGCCACAGCCAGAAATGGACCAAGGGCTGCTTGTAGCCGTGCTCAGAGCTGAGTTTAGCCTTTACCTCCATCACCAGGATAAAGATGACGTGTGTGAAAAGTCAGCAGATTGGAAAGCTCTACATATGTAAGATAGTTGAGGTGTTATTTTCAGAAGCCTTTATCAATTCCAGAATTTCCATCTTGTTTATGTTTATAATTTCTTCACTATTATTTGATGAAACACTGTCATCATACCATTCTTCAGTTCTTTAAGCATAGTTTCCTTGTTTTTTGTTTTTTTTTAACATATTTATAATAGCTTTAAAAGGATAGAGGGTACTTTGGAAAACAGTTTGGCATTTCTACAAAATGTTAAACAGGTTTATCATATGACCCACCCCTCCCAGTCCTACGTGTATATGCACAAGAATTGAAAACATGTCTACACAAAAACTTGTACACATGCTCACAGCAGCATCATGCATAATAGCCCAAAAGTGGAAAATGCCCACAGCTGGTGAATGGATAAGCAAAATGTAGCATTCCCATACCGTGGAGTATTATTTGGCAATAAAAAGGGAGAAAGCAAGCCTTGGCCAGTTTGGCTCAGCAGTTAGCATTGGACCACAGACCAAAGAGTCACAGGTTCAAATCCAGTCAAGGACATGCACCTCAGTGGTGGTTAGGTCCCCAGCCCTGGTCAGGGTCATGCAGGAGGCAACCAGTCTATGTGTCTATCTGACATCAATGTTTCTCTCTCTTTCTCTCTCTCTCCCCCCTCCCTCCCACTCTATCTGAAGATAAATGGAAAAATATCCTCTGGTGAGGATTTAAAAAAAAAAAAAAAAGGAGAAAGCATTGACACAGGCTGCAACATGAATGAACCTTGAAAACATTTTGACAAATGACAAAAGAAAGTCACAAAGGATCACATATTTTAAGATTCCATTTATATGAAATGTCCAGAATAGGCAAACCCATAGAGATAATAGATCAGAGGTTGCCAGAGTCAGAAGGGTATGGGTTTCTTTGACAGGTAATAAAAACATTCTAAAATTAGATAGTGGGCCCTGGCTGGTTTGGCTCAGTGGTTAGAGTGTCAGCCCACAGACCAGTGAGTCTTGTGTTCAGTTCCTGTCAAGGGCACGTACCTCGGTTGCAGTTCATCCCTGCCCTGGTGGGGTCATGCAGGAGGCGACCAGTCCATGTGGCTCTATCACATCAATGTTTCTGTCTGTCTCCTCCCTCCCACGCACTCTATCTGATTATAAGTAGAAAAATATCCTCAGGCAAGGAATAAAAACAAACAAACAAAAAAATTAGTGGTGCTGATTGTACAACCCTGTATATACTAAAAACCACTGAACTGTATTACTTGAAAGGGGTAAATTTTTTGGTATGTGAATTATGTTCTAATAAAGCTGTCCTTTAAAAAGAGGTGGGGGGTTGGGGCCTGGCTGGGTAGCTCAGTTGGTTAGAGCACTGTCCCAATACACCAAGGTTGTGGGTTTGATCCCCGGTCAGGGCATGTACAAGAATTAATACATAAAGTGGAACGACAAATCAACGTTTCTCTCTCCCGCCCACCCCCTTTTCCCTACCCTTTCCCCTCTCCTTCTCTCTCCTTCTCTCTCTCTCTCTCTTCCCCTCTCAAATCAATTTTTAAAAAACAAATTAATAAAAATAAAAAGGGGTGTGGAGGGAAGAACAGGGGAAGGAGAGTTTGGACCGAAATGGTTCTCTCTCCTGTGCCCCACCCCATCTTGACAGGGTCCTGGAGTCTTCTGTCAAGCTCAGGAAGATGTATGATTTTTTTTTATTTCCAAACTTCATTGAGAAAATGCCAGCTCTGAAGCAGAAGCAATAAGAAAGCCAAGCACTGCCATCTCCTCCCCCACCCCCCAATGTGCTAACCTGCAGAGGGAGGCTGGAGGACTGGGGCCTCTCAGAACTGATGGGCTGGAAATCAGGACACGGGGGGCTGGAGTGGGGGCAATGAGAGCGGAGCCGACCCAGGACCGGCCTCCTCTTCTCCAGCTCTCCCCTCCCAAGCTGCCGTGAGGGCTGCACTGTACTGGCGAAACAGAGTTATGATCGTTTTTATTAGTCACCACGTCTCACAGAAGTGCCGCAAGTCCAGTCCCACACGTCTCCCACCCGACGTGAGAGCGCGACACCCTGGCTGTGGTGAGCACAGGTGACGGATGGGCCAGCGGCTTCCACTCATCTTGTGCTTTCTCTCCCCCTTTTCCCCTTCTCCTCTTGTTTTTCAGTGGCTGCTTCAACTCCCAACTCCACTGCTGGTGCGGCCATGAACTCTTTGACCTCTCTCGGGACTCTGCAAGGACTGGCAGGAGCCACAGTTGGACTGAATAATATTAATGCACTTGCAGGTACCATAAACAGTGAGTATTTGCTGCTCTGGTGGACAGCCTCCCCCCAAATTCTCCACAGAAAACGGTCAGCCAGAAATGACCCAAAAAGGACACCACAGGGAGAACTAATACTTGGGATGGAGGAGCCCATGCTTCGATAGGCAGACGCTGTCTAGGTTCATTTTGCCTCAGAAACACCCAACCACTCACCACCCCCCGTCGCTTCTGACACGCAGTATGTGCACATTTCATCCGTACATTCCTGTGGTTGGCAGATACTTGCAGGTTTTGGGGGGTTTGGTTGGATTGGGGGTTTGTTCTGTTCTTCTGCAAGGCACTGTGCTAATAATAGAAAAATTGATGGACCAGAAATCAGGACACATGGGTCCAGCTCCGAATCTGCTAGCAATTACTTACAGGGTCTCGGGCAGATCCCTGTCCCGCTCGGAGCCTCATTTTCCCATTTGACAATGGAAAGTTCTGGATCGGATGCTCTTAAAGGTGCCCTCCAGCTCTAAAACCCAAAGATTCATGACAGTTGTGGGGGGAAATGAGGCCTTAGAACGAAGGCAATCAGCTGAGCGGAGAGGAGCCACTGCTGCAGGGAGCATGGCCTGGAGTCTTCGTGGAGCCCGCGGGCCTGGGTCACTCAAGCAGCTCGCTCCAAGGCCCGCGGGCCTGGGTCACTCAAGCAGCGCGCTCCAAGGCCCGCGGGCCTGCCGTCACAGCCTGAGGCCGACTGCTCACAGGCCACTTAGTTCAGAAACACACGGACGCACCAAAGAACTCGAGGTTCTGTCCTATGGAGTGTACCCACTCGACACTTTAGATCGATGGGGGAACAGTTCCCGGCCAGCAGAGAAGTATATTACTGCGGGCTCAGGCTTGGCGTTGGCTCCTGCACTGGGGACACAGTTCCGAGCCCACGTGAGGGTCACCTCACTTGTCTTTCCCTCAGTTTGGTCCCTCTGGGCCCCGAGAGCAGCCAAGCCCAAGCAGGTCCATGACTGCGCAAAGAGACTCTGGCTTGGGGGTCTAGTTACCTAGCATGCAACCCAAGCAACCCAATACCACCCATTTTAAGCATTAAAAAAAGGGTTCTTGGCAAGTTGCCGTTTTAAGCCATGACTCAATAAGGGAACTGTTTTTAAAGGGTGATCAGTACAATGTTGTTAAAAAGAAAAAAAAAAAATCCCAGTAATTTTATACTTTAAAAGCTCAAAAAGAATGCCTTGCAATTTATTTGGTGAAAAACGGTCCTAGAACTTACCCAAATAAAGACTAACTTTTATCATCCTGATAAGAAAATAAAAATCATATATTTGTTGGTAGGAAATATTCAGGTTTTATCAAGTCCTTTCATTCCAATGCTCTGGGAAAGACAAAAACTTGAACTGAGTTTTATCTGACCATAGGCCAAAAAAAGAAGAAAAGAGAAACATTAGTCCTTCCAGATAGGATAATGGCTCTTGATTAGCAAATAGGATATGCAGTGGTAACCATGCGATAGCAAAATGTTTTATTCCAGTAAAACTGCCTCCAGCTCCCCTGGTTCCAGGAGCCCCATTGCCTTGACTCCTGTTTCTGACCTTGTTCTGCAGACGCTCCAGCCCACTTGTCCTTTCCCTCGGTTGCAGGTGTGTGTGTTTGCACACAGCCCTTCATGCTGCTTCTCTTGCCCCAGGACCTAGTTCCCCTAAAACAAGGACTTTGATTTGATCGCCTGCCTGTCCTTGGTCTGCAAAGTACCAGGCCAGTGGGAGTGGCTGTCCTCCTCAGCACGTGCTCATGACTGCTGTGTGTCGTCCTCCTGTCCGTGCGTCCGCTCTCCATCCTGTTGTGTTGTACTTCTCTGGGATTTTCCATCGTTGTCGGCGGCTAGAGAGGGACTTTGGTGAATGGCAGAGAAACCGTGACTAGGTCTTGTGTGTTACACAAATTTTGCTTCTGGCAAGGACAACAGGCTTAAGCTGTTTTGTTTTTTAATTCTTTGCCATTGGGTTAATATAAGTGTGTATAGCTCATGGGAAATTAAGAATGTTTCTAGTTTCAAACAACCCCTACCAGAGAGTAAGAACCAGGAGAATGTTTAATTAAACCAAAGGTCACGCTAAAACAAAAATGCATTCTTTCTGATTTGGTGGATGCTACTAGCATCAGTGCAGGGCTATTTAACCATTCCAGCAGTCTCTGGGAACTAATATTTGCTTCTTGTCTCAAATACAAAGAGAAAATCTTGTAATACAGAGTACCCTTTTTCAGACTATTCTCCCTCAACAGATATGATGATGCTTCCTGTCCTACCGAATAATTCTCAAAACAGGTAGTCAAGAAGCAGTTACTGGGCAGAGGCAGCTTCTAAAACGGTTGGCCTCAGCTTCCCTTTCATTGCTATTTCCTACCCTTCTGCATCCCAGGAACCACTGCTTACTGCCATGAGGAGAGTTTTCTGGTTTACTGAGTACAGCCAACTCTTTTCCCTGGACAAAGGAGCCATGACGAAAGTAGGTAGATGGAATCCACAGTTGGTTCCCAAACTCATCTTAGTGTAGGTTTCACCCACTTCCCTGCCAGAGGGCCTGTCATCTGCCCAAGTGTTAGTTAGTAGACAAGTAGCTAAATTGAACTGAGTTTGATGTCGTTTTCTTTCCCTTATACAAAAATAGTACAGTACACTAAAGCTAAAAGCAGAAATTGTCCAGATTAGAACTAAGGAGTGTGGGTGATTCACTAACAAGGTTTTCCCTTATGGATTATTTGAGGGCTCTTCAGGCTTGTTTTATATATTCATATTGGAACTGAGCTGAAAAATTTTTGCACATATGTCCACCCCAAGAGTCTGTATCTGGTTTTGTGTGTTTAAATGTATTTTTTCTTGTTTCAATGGCATTAATTCTCCCAATGACTTACCCATTTAGTGCTTAAGATTATAATGGTTTGACTATAACCAGTCACAAATGCCTAATGAATAGTGTTAATGGAAATATTTTTTGTAAAGGAGAGAAAAGTGAAGATGCTTTGGGCATGTTATTGTGGCTTGTCACCCTTTATTTACATTGTGAAATGACTGTTTAATCTGTATTGTTGGAATATACAAAAATATATGTAGTTAGATACATATACAACATACAACCTCACACCTAATTGTGACCACATTTACAGGCATACACGTCAACACCAATATTGTTCATATTCATCTACCGACTCTGGTTCTAGACACTTTATACTGAAGTTCTCATTACCAGCTTGCAGCTTAGAGGGACAGGCTTCATCTACACCAAGGAAACTCATCTCAGTAAATAGATTTCAGATCTGTGACTATATTAGTACATTCTTCACTTTTGCTTTATTTTTGTTTAGTATAAAACTCAGCAGAGTGGCTTGAAAATAACTGTAGTCTGTTTACAGTGCTCTGCCTCTGACCCTCCACGTCAGTACCACCTTCATAGCGGCCACTCATATTTATGGGTGGGCCCTTCTGTGTCATTTTCACAGATTTGTTCACTAATCTCACAGTTCCTTGGGTCTGCATCAGGTGAGAACCTCTGGAGAGCAGTTAAGATGAAAGTACTTAGTAGTGAAGATATACACTACCTTTATTAATAGACCATTTTCGAAGACCTCCCCTTGTGGAGGTTTGCCACACCCAAATGCCTTCCATGGGAACCTACATTAAACGGGATGAGACGACCAAGCCACTTGACCTTCCCAAAGAAAATGCCATTCCTTTAAGGGGAAAAGCATTTTATTCAACTCAGTCTTCTTCAAACCTGTTTCTGTTGTCCAAAGTTTTTAGATGTAATCAGATACCAGCAGCTGAGTTGACAAGCGTTCTCTTTGATGTGATTATTTAATACAGAATAACATTAGATAATTTGTAGGAATAACTCCCAGAGATTGAAATCTTCCTTTGATGGTCCTTCAAATTCTACCAGGTAATCAGTTACCTATTCTGCCTTGGCTTTTGGCAAATATGGGATGGTTTTGGGTTTTGTTTGCTTGGTTGGTTTTGTTCTGTTTTGTTTTGGGTTAATCCTCACCTGAGAATATTTTCTCATTGATTTTTTTTTTTAAGATCGAGTAGAAGGGAGGGGGAGAGAGAGAGAAAAACAATGACATAAGACACATTGATTGGCTGCCTGCCACATGACCCCAACCTAGGCTGGGGATCGAACCTACAGCCCAGGTACATGCCCTTGACCTGGAATTAAACCCAAGACCCTTTTGGTCCGAGGGCCAACGCTCTGACTGCTGAGCCAAATGGGCCAGGGCAGGATAGTTTTGGTTTTAAATATTCTCCATGCACTATACTTGTTAGAATTCTTATCCCCATTTTGTGTTCAAAAGGATGGTTATGCCATGGAGGAAGCCATGGTCTGGCAAGGCCCTACCTAGTCCCCTCTTTGGCATCAATACCTTTTACTTGGTGCCTCCTCTGCCATCTCCCTCCCCACCCCGGGCAGGTAAGGCCAGCCATCACTGTCTCCCACACACATGGAGTCAGCTGAGGCAAGCAGAACCCTTCAGAAAGCAGATTTGCCCTGAAGTATAGGACAGAACGCAGCCAGCCTCTGGAAGCGTAGGCAGCAGAGTGTGAGGAGGGGGCTCAACTGTCACTGGCTAGGGCTGCAAGCCACACAAGGACTCATGCGCTGAAACAGCCATCCAGTCTTTCAGCAGCATGAAGTTCATGTCGAAAGGAAAAAAGGAAAGGGGGAAAGGGGGAAAGTTAGAAGATAATTCACCTGACCTAGACAGCAAAAAGGGCACATCCCAGAAGGGAAGGCAGTCAGGGGCACCGGTGACTGTGGCAGTTAAATCCCAGCTGTGTGTCCAGCCCTCTGGAGAAGCCAGGTCATGGTGGCTAAGAGTCACAGGAAGGCACTCCTACACGGTCCCGTAGGAGGGCCTGAAAGCTCTGAGGCCCTTAGCAGACACAGCACAGGGGCGTGTAGTGCTGATTTGGGGGATTCAGAGACATTCTTGTTAGTGGAGCTTCTGTCTCCAGACCCTGTTGTCAGGCCGCTGTGTTCCTCGTAGCTCTGGAGGCCGCGGTGCGCACCTGGAACCATGCACTTAGGGGTATGAGTGGAGTGGAAGTCACTGCTCCCTCCTAGAACTTCCCGCACAGGAAGCTGACTTTCCAGAGGGCTGAGCCCGTGACATGGCCATCTGCATCCTAGCACCTATTAGCAGCCTGACAAAAATGAAACCAGCAGTGCTTACCAGCTGTGCTCTGCTCGTCCCGAGTGATTTCACAGTCTCCTCTCACCTCTTAGAAAAGCAACACTGATGTTTCTTTGAATTCACACAAATATCAGGAGGTGAGGATGAAATGAGACCAGAGAGGAAGAGAGAAATTTCTCCCCAGCCCTTCAGCAGCCATAAGAATAACAGGGATGGAGGAGAAAAGAGGCATCGAAGTAAATGGGATTAGTTGTTGTCTAAGGGATTGTTTAATTAGGAGGACAAACTATTTCCAAGCTCTTAAACAGCACTTGCCTGACCCAGAAAAAAAAAAAAAAGACACTATGGAGAGAAAACAGACTCCTGCCTAATAAGTTTAGAGCAGAGTGAGCAGGACCTCTGCTGGCCAACACCTTTTTAGCTTTGTTTGTATTCTAGATCTGCTTGATTCCTTCTCCGTAGGCTTGTTCCATTCTCGAGTCCTTCAGCTCTCCTTGCCCCTCCACCCACCCCAGTCCTCTGTCTGTACTTGCGAACATCCCCCCCGGGCCCAGTTCTGTCCCAAGCCCCCAGGAAGAATACCAGACCTGAGACACTAGGAGATTCCTCTACTGTAAAGCGACGGTCTGATTCCTACCTTGCATGTAGTTCTTTTCATCGAAGAGACGAAGTTATCAATATAATCAGCACGTGGGGAGTAAAGAGAACATTCCCACTTCCGCTTCCCGGGGGGTGACAAGGAAGACACTGATGGGGTGTTGCGGTGAGGCTGGCTTTGGATTTCTCTATAATTCCTAAGCATCCTTATCTTAGTTCTCTGTTCTCACTGGACGTCCTACCAACTTTTTTCATCCTTAGTCATCTTTGTTATTTAATAGCCCTGATCAACTGCTATAATCCCTTCAAGATTTTCATTAACATTTTCAGTTCTTCCCAGAAAGAAATCTTTAAAAAAAAAAGTTTTAATCATAAAAGGAACCAAAGGCAGTTATGATGTCACCTCTTCCATTTCCTGAGTTCATCTGAAAGTTAACACTCTATAAAGTCTTGCTTGTTTTGACTCAGTGTTCAGGGAAAATATGACACAGTCAGCAACCGTAATAGAGCAAAAGAGCTGCCAGGGTACAAGGAAAAAAAAATCAAAAAAGTGTGCTGGCCAACATCCAGTTCCCATCAGTAACTAGCCAAGACCCAGCTTACAGACACGGGTACCACTTCCTTTGACTGAAAAACGTAACAGAGTTCTTTCATTGGCAGAAATCCCAGTTACATGGGCACCGACTAATACTCTTGTGTCCCTATGTCTGTCTGTCTAAGTATCTAACTATTTGCTACTGAAAACCAATGGCCCCATTCCTTGTCTCACCTTTCATATGGAATAAGCAGCTTGGTCTCTGCAGTTAGGGGAAGGGTCCACGTTTTCCCCTCTGCCTTCTTCCTCAGCGAGGCTATTCCTAAACTCCTAGTCCTGGCAACATTCTCCTGCTGTTTAGGAAGCCAGTTAATGGAACTGCCAATTCCCTGGTTTATTGAGCCTAGAGCTTGTCTCCTCTGCCGTTTCCTCATCAGACAGCTTACAGGAGAAAAGTTTTATTTCATCCCTTCTCCTCAATCTCTTGGGTCCTCAAAGAGCCAATCAATAGATTTAAGTGTACAGATGTCACAAGCCTCTGCCAGGAATGTTTTTTACCTGCTTCTAAGCCCTAAGAAGCAGAAGGCTTTTATTCCAAAAAGATAACCCAGTACTTGCCAGTAGCTGCATGGAATGAAGATGCTCTGCCTCGCTGTGGCACCCGTGAATGTCCGTCACCGGCCCAGGGAGCGAGGGCTCCAGGGTTCAGGGCTCTCTGGTGTCCTGCTGCTGTGTGTCTTTACTGTCCCTGTGAGTTCTGCCTCGTCGTGTCGTAGCCGTGCGGTGTCGTTGGTGTGCCAGCTGCATGCACTTGCTGTTGTACTGTGTCAAATGACTCTCTAACTTCCTTTGGAAAGCACTAATGAAAAGTGCTGTTTCTCTTCTCTATTGTTGGGTTTTTTGTAAAGTTGCTCAAATGCTCTCAGGTATGGCGGCTCTGAATGGAGGACTTGGCGCCACGGGCTTGACGAATGGCACGGCGGGCACCATGGACGCCCTCACGCAGGCCTACTCAGGGATCCAGCAGTACGCGGCGGCGGCGCTGCCCACGCTGTACAGCCAGAGCTTGCTGCAGCAGCAGAGCGCGGCGGGCAGCCAGAAGGAAGGTACGTGTCCCGCGGCCACGCGGCCGGCCCGATGGCAGCAGTCGCCTCCGCGGCCTGTTTCCGAAGAAAGCAGACGGGCCGTGTCGGAGGAAAGCAGTCGTTTTATTTCTGCCGCTCAGGCTTTCTCTTTCAATGAAACGGGACGAGCTTGAAGCATTTGTTTCCCACCTTCTTTCCTGTTCCGTCTTACATTTCTTTTATCTTTTAATTTTTCATCGACCTCTTACGATGAATTTCTCACCTACTGTGTGTTTATACGCAATTACTTAGTAGTTGCTGCCATCAAAACTTGCCAGGAACCCCGCTCCCAATCAGCGTTCTTCCCCCTGACCGGAGAGGCAGGCGCTGCGGCGGGGCGGGGCGGCCAGGCCTCAGGGGGCGGGGCGGCCAGGCCTCAGGGGGCGGGGCGCCGCCGGCCGGCCAGAGGGCCCCGCCCAGCGTGCTGCCACCGCAGCTTGCCTTAGTGGGCGGTGGTGCCAGGTTGATGGTAAAACCCACTGTTAGCACTGACTCGGTCTTTAATTGGGGGTCTTCTGGGGAAGCAAATCAGTGATCGATTGCCTTGCTTCCCTGTCAGTGAAGCAAAATGGATGTCAGGAAGTTCAAGTTCAGAATAAATTAAATCTAATTATAAAACAGTTAATGAGCTGGTTGAAATAGGAAGAGCTTGTCTCTCTTTCTTTCTTCCTTTTGGTTTCTTCTGAATTGAAGTTGCTTTTAGAGCAGAATCTTCAACATTGTATTTATTCTCTTTCTGACTTGTTAAGAATATGGGATAAGAAGCTGGAGTAGGAAAGTACATACTGCTGAAATTTTTTTCATTTCTTTCCCTTCTTTACCCTCACCCCATTAATTCCAAACTGTTTTTGTTTAAATACTTTGACTTTAAATATGGTATTCTATAAAGAAACAGAATAGTTTTACTTTACAAAGTTGCGAATTTTAAAGCGAACACAGTTTTAAAGATACTCTTGTGTAAAAAAAAGGATAAGTGAAAATCTAAGTTATATCAACTTACTTTTTATTCGTAGTTGTGGCTGTCATGGATTTTTTTTTAAACACGCACAACTGTTCAGACAGCTGTTTCCCTAGGCGTGTGGAGATGCTATATCCTAAACACACAACTTCATAAAGACAAGCCTATTGTGAGGTCCCTCTGTCTGTAGTCTGACTACAGCGGTGACAAATAAGGGCCGCGGGGCCTGTAAGAGAATGACATCCTCAGATGAGACCATAAAAGCCAGTCCCCCCACTGCAGTTTTAGTCACCTCTTCAGTACCCAGTAGCACCTTACAGCAAACTGTAGAGCCTGTGTTGCTGGGAAAATGTCACCAGGAAACTCGAAATGTAGTGGTTTAAAGATCAAGTCTGGGCCCTGAGACAGTTTCCTCAGTTGCTGTACCGCAGCCCACTGCCTTGAATGTAGTCCCTGCCTTGAATTTTCAGGCTGGCTTGTGCAGCAACTAACCCTCTGGGATGAATGTAAAAATAGTTCAAAATGATGACTGCCAACTGCAGATTACATATATTTAAGTATGCAGGCTACCAGTAGCGTTTTCTATCTTTCTGTTGATTCTGGTTTTGTTGTTGTTGTTCAGTTATTTTTAATCATCTCTCACCTTCTCATACTTTCTGATCACCTTCTTCTCACCCAGTTAATATGAGCTCAAGAAATGTAAACCATCTTAATATTAGTTTAACACAAAATAATGCAAAAGGCAAGTTGTAGTGGGAAGGAAAAATCCCGTAGTGAATTTCTTTTTTTTTAATCCTCACCCAAAAGGATGTGCCTCTATTTATCTTCAGACAGACAGGGAGAGAGGGACACATCGATTGGTTGCCTCCCACATGATCCCGACCAGGGCTGGGGACAAACCGCAACCAAGGTACATGCCCTTGGCCGGAATCGAACCCGCAACTCATTGGTCCATGGGCTGACACTCTACCATTGAGCCAAACTGGCCAGGGCCTGTAGTGAACTATCTTAAACAGATTTTTAGATTTGCTACTACATAGCTCTATCCTTTAGTCAGGAGAGTCGGAAGTCAGCTTGACATGCAGTCAATGTGCCCTGGCACATGTTATCCCACAGGAACACAAGCCAGTCTGGCTTTGTAAAGCACACGGTTTTAAATCCTCTGGAGGGTTACAGCATCCCTATTGATCTCAATCCAGCAGGTTGACCTCCTTTCCTGCCTAAACACCCTCTGACCTCTTTCACACCTTCTCATGTTTGCAGGAGACAAGTCACAACATGACCACTTGACGTTTCTGTATCACTTACGTTTCCATGGATATATCACAACTAGAAATGCGAATGATATAGAAAGGTAGATTGGTCATGTTGACACTTAAATAAGGAAGAAATGCTTTGTCTCTGGCTTCACAAATCTGCCTCAAGAAGTTCTCCTTGTGAAAAGCCCCATTTGTTAGAACATTTGTTTTATGATTTTTTTGTTTGTTTGTTTTGTAGGAAGAAACTGGTTTGACTTTTCTTGACTTTTCTTTGCAAATATAGTCATCCCTTTTCTTTGTACAAAATTCTTTTTACCATTTATATATTTTTTAACCCTTTCCCATAGACTCCCACCCACTCACTGCAACTTCTCCCTGAGCCTTCTCAATAGGGCCGCCAGTCCTGGTTCCTCTCCTGTGAATGCCAGTTAAGGTTCCATGAACCAGCTGCAGAGATTACTTTACCAGTTTTATGAGCTCCCTTCCCTCCCAGACACCATGCTCAGAACATAGAACATCCTATAGGCAGCTCCCCTGGGGCCTCTCCAAAACCATCTGGAAAAGAATGAATAACTAGCCCCGGCACCCTTTGACCAGAAAACAATCTTGCCTGTTACAGATTAGAAGGTGATTATCTTCCATCAGATCATTTGATTTCCCTCTTTTCTCCTTTTTTGCTTCTTTTTAACCTTCAGATTTTCCTTGTGCAGGAAGCTAGAGAGGCGAGAGAATGGAATGGAAAGGGACTCAGGAGAGCTTACCTCTAACCAGTATAGCTCAGATCTTCCTCGCTCTGCCCTTGCTGCTTGTATTTCTAGAAAACAATGGGTAAGAGGGAAGAGCCTGGCTCAGCTTAGTCTTTGACTAGCTGCTGCATCTCATGCATTCATTTCCAAGGCTAATTCCCAGTGGTGTGATTCCTAGCATAGTCGTGGAACCCTAGCTACCTATTTTTCCCTGCCTTGACTCATTGCCAGTCATTTCTAATAAAGATGATTATTAGACTGTGTGTTAAGAGATTTGGCAAATCAAAACTGGATGGATAATTAGGTAAATGATTGAGAAATCCAAGCAGCATTACTGCTATATCCATTATTCTCAATTGCGGCAATTTGCTTAGAATGCACAGGACACACTCCTATGAGAGACACTTATGTACATACTGCAAAACACAGCCACCCAGGCAAAACCCACGCCTGTGTTCTCTTCCCCCATTCTATGCCATGGCTGCCATGCTGACCCCATGAAGAGACTGAAATATTCACAGGCAGTAAGCAAATATGACCCACAGAAGACTAGCCGTGAAAAGGAAGTCATTATTAACCAGTGTTTTTGAGGAAATGAAGAGCTGAAGAATGTTTGCTTTCCTGAAAGACACTTGGACACATGACAGTTGACTCGTCTATTCCGTCCTTGCAGTATGAGGGAAAGCAAATGCTCTGCCTACCTGTTGTTAAGGCATTCCTAAAAGGAGGCTTTGGGAACTAAGAAGCGAAGAATACCTTACTCTGATTTTTGTTTCCTCTTTAGGTCCAGAGGGTGCAAACCTCTTTATTTACCACCTTCCACAGGAGTTTGGAGACCAGGACATTCTGCAGATGTTCATGCCTTTTGGAAATGTTATCTCTGCTAAAGTCTTCATTGACAAACAGACCAATCTGAGCAAGTGCTTTGGTATGCAAAAGAAACCAAGCTAGAATATTACAGCACATCCCCCAGTGAGGAGTTGTGGGAAGGAAGATGTAAATAGCAAATAATTTAGAAGTTAGGAGAGGGCCTTCCCTGTGTGGTGGTGTTTTCTGGTTCTCTGGATCCATGTAAGCAGACTGGGCAAAGTTATTTAATCAGAGGGGGCGAAAGGAGGAAGGGGCTGTAGAAAAAGGAAGGCTCTGAGAAATTAAACCAAATGCCTATACATTAGGTAATGCTGTATACTGTAATGTGGACATGTCTTACTACATATGTTTACTAATTGGTTATTGTAGAGCAACAGCAGTTTCTTTAAACCTTGTAGATTGAACCACAAACTCTACCAGATGGGAATACAGTTAACGACGCAGCTTAGGCTGTCCTGATACAGAAGGGCATAGCGGCCACTTTACCAGTAGTTCCTTACACTGCCATGTTCAGTGCGACTGAGCCACTGTGGACGCAGGTGACACACTTACCGGGGCCTACTGTTCAGCATCTCGATGTACTGCACGCAAATGCACACACCTTCCCAGTAGGGCATGGTCTGGCCGCTCGCCTCACTGCAGCTCCAGGAGTACAGGGGTGGCTGGTTAACACAGCTCGAGGTCACATAAAGCACCAAGTTGTGCTGGATTCTGGAGCCAGAAGCTGGATGGCAGGCTCTGCAGGGACTGAGTGGGTGCAGAGCACGGAGGTGCAGGTATTCTGAGGACATGGGGAACCCAGCTCCTCAGCGGCCGAGATGTTGAACCCTCCTTTCTCAAGCTGCCCAGACTTTGCTTCCCCTTGTGTTTTTTGCCCCCAGAAAGTAAGGCCCTAATGTATTGCACCAGAAGGAGAGCATCCATTCCATTATTGTTTTATTTTTCCAAACCCTTTTAGTCCCCAGAGTAGTTTAGAGGCCAGAATGTTCAGAGTATATATTACTCTGGACTTGAGAAGTTCTGGCCCAGTTTGAGAAAGAACATTTGCTTGCGTCACCCCCTCCAATGTACTAGTTCCTGTTGGTAGTAGGTATTAACAGTAGCATGAAACGAAATAAAGTAGAATACATATGGGCCAAATAAACTTGTATGATATAAAGAAAAATATCAAAGGTAGGGTGGTTCTCAGGCAGCCAAAACTCAAACATTCTATCTGGCTAACTGGTAGTGGGCTACCAGAACGTTGTGGCTCCTAAAACTCCATCATCGTAACATCTTTCTAACTTCTGTGCTACCGCCCGGGAAGCACTGAAGCTTGTGTTGTTAGGGGAATTAGTTTGTCAACAATTTAAGTCCGTTTTTACCCAAGTGGAAAGGCTGTCAGCCTGAACCCATTACACTACTGCTGCTGCGGCAAGTGTGTCGACCCCGTGTAATGGTTCAGGAGACAGTGAAATGGAAGGAAGTTGTTACATAGGGTGAGTGTGTTTCAATATGAGCTTACCTTTGGGAGCTTCCCTGTACAGGATTTGAGCCAGACTTTTATATTCCTCATCACCAAACAATGTCCTGGGCTTATCTGGAGATTGGAAAGTGCTTGAGCTTCACAGTTTGATTTCTAGAAAACATTTACTGCTAAAAAGAGCTCCTATCAACCCACAGGCTCTGTAAGCAGTGTCTTCATAATAATGCAATTTAGAGTCATGAGTATCAGCAGACAATTAATTGTATTTAGTATAATGGACAGTGTTTTCAATTTTTATTAAAAGACATAGCACCCCATACTGAGGTTTCTCAGTGAGCCAGTTTAATTTCTTGGGGACTCAGGTTTGCTAATCGTAAGGTAGGACCCCATTCTTTCATTCTAACCTCTTGGCCAGGTTTTGTTATCCATTTCACCCTTGACCCATATCCATTCTTCAATCATCTTGCTACTTCTGGATGAAAACCCACAGGGAAGGGAGAAAGTCTGAGCAAATATCTTAGATTCAAAATCACATTTATTGGGAATTAGATTTCAAATAATGTAAACCATCATTTTGCAATACAGCCTGCCAATGAGAAACATACTACCATATGCTTGTGTTTGTCAGCTGAGAACTCTGCCTAAGGTATACTTATGTCCTTTTCTTCCTCCTCTAGTTTGTGAAGGAATTTTCTCTTTAACTCTAAACTTTAATAATAGGAATATGGAGAAGCTTAATATAGAACCTTCTAAACAGCTCATGTCCAGAACCTAAATGCAGTTAGCATAAGAGCTTCCTCTCACTACCGAAAGTAAGTAGGGAACTATATAAACTCAACACTTTTCCATCAGCATCAACTAAAGACAGCTTTGCAGGCACTACTACCCACTGCCCCATCCCACCCCCTGGTGTTAGGACAAACTCTATGATCAGAATTCGGCTTCTTGACCTTTGCAGAGCATCATCAGTCCTTTTTCAAAAGCATCGCTCCCCCTCTTTTTTGGTGTGTATGTTGGAACAGAGTATACTGGGAACTCTGTTAAGATGGTTGTTAAGTCTTGAGCTGTTTAAACTGTTTATTCCCTAAGACTCTTGGAGATACAAGGGTAGCAATTTCAGTTGTGTTGAATTCAGCAGAGCTTTGAAAATGGAAGTCTAAGATAAGGAGGAAGGCCCAGCATTTCTCCTAGGTGCCTCTTAGTAATAACTCTAAAATGTTAAAAATCAAGTATAAATTATTTTAGAGTTAATTCACTGAACCCATCATACAGCCAAACAAGAGTGGGATCTGCGACACAGATGAACTAGAATAAAAGGCGGTCGGGGTCTCTGGCAGCACACCCTGTTAGCTAGACCTTCCTCTAATGATCCTGCTTTTTAAGCTCAATGTGGTCAGGACATGTGAGCCTCTGGGGCCCTTCCAGCCCTGCGTATTTGTACCACCACTTATCTGAGCAGCACTTACTCGTGTACCTGGGGTTCTTGCAGAAGGTCTCTAAGGGACTTTAAACACAAGTGGATTTGACTGAAATCAGTAAGCAGAGAGACTAAATTTACTCAAACAATTGAGTTGGAGATTTTAGCTTTCTGTAGAGGGGTTTTCTCATCAAACCCAATTACCCATCCAGCTAGCTGTTTTACTGCTTCTCAGTAGCTATTTCCAGTGTTGCCCCTAAAACACGCCCTGTTCAGCTATGGGATCGCCCTGTTCAGCTATGGGATCGACACACGTAACTCATCATTTGCCAGTTACACTGTCCAGGGGGCCCTGGCTCCCCTTTTCCACTCCACTGCCTCTCCATCTTGATTCCCCCTTCTGTTTTCCAGGTTTTGTTAGCTACGACAATCCAGTGTCTGCGCAAGCTGCTATCCAGGCTATGAATGGCTTTCAGATTGGCATGAAACGCTTGAAGGTCCAGCTGAAGCGCTCCAAAAACGACAGCAAACCTTACTGATCCTAACCCCAGAGGCTCCCAGCTCTTATTTTAGCTTTCTTAGGGTAAGTCCCACAAGCCAGCCTGTTCTCAACAGGAAAGGCAGAGGAGGACCACATTGCCAACTTTTACCAAGAGAGACGGTTATTTTTACAATAAGGCCTCCATTCCCCCCACCCTCACCCCCGCCCCGTTCGCCATATTTAAAACTCGGGCTACCTTGTTTCTATGAGTAAACTCCTCCAGTTGTGCCACTGTATTCTCCTTTGTTTTGCAATTTGAATCTCCTTTTACCTTTTTTGTTTTTTGCTTTTTTAAAGGAAAACATACATACACAAATAAATGACATCTTCAGAATTTAAAAGGCAAACAAAGGCTAATGTGCAATTCTAACTCAGAGAACCCCTGGTGCCCTACGAGCACTGCCTGGAGAATTCACCCCTCCTGTCCTGTTTACCCCTAGGAGGGCACCAGCTGTTTAGAGGTCAAGGTGGTGGCCTAGAGCAAGAGAAAAGCCAGGAGAAGCACTTAAAACAATACAAACGTCTTTCCACTACATTTGGTTTGTTTTAATAAGTAGGATTTTATTTTAGGGTTCAAAGAAACATGACATTTATTGGTCGGGTTATTACACTGGTTGTCTATTTTGTTATTGTTTTATTTTAGTTCTTAGAAAGGATTAATGTAAAAAAGATTTAGAGATCTGTTTCTTAAAGCTACAGGGTTTAAAAATAAAATAAAAATGAATGAAAATACTTGATGTTTCTTGAAAGATAAATTTAATAATAAATAATACATAAATAATACATAAATAAAAAAGAAAGCCACAGGCCTGTAAATTTTATTTGTAAAAAAAGCATTTCTATTTTTGTACAAAATTTTTACTGCCTCAGAAATAAGGAAGTTATTTATTGCCTACTGTTAACTTATTGGGTACCTAAAGAGCAGTTCTCTGTGCTAGCTAGATCCTTTTGAAGTAGTCTTTAAAGGAATCGTTCTAGGAATGGGCTTTTTTCACCGTTGAACCCTAGGCCTAAAGTTCATGCTTTATCCTCTTGTTGTTTGTATCTGTCTGATTATTTTGTTCGTAACTTCCATTATCTAGTTTACAGTTCAGTTGTCTGACTCTCCCCCTTTGTTACATTCGTTGAAACTGGATCCTCCCCCTGTCCCTTGCCAGCCCCTCACCCCAAAACACCCGGAATCCATCCCCTCTCCCTCTCCGGATGGATTCTCTTGGGGTTCCATTGTGCTGTGATAAAGATTGTAAGAAATGCAAATTATGTGGATGGCTCGTAGACTCCCTAATGACCTAAGATTTGCATTAGTTTTTCTCCTGCACCCTTAAGAGTGATTTTGTTGCTGCTGCGTAGATTCTGTGTAACTTTTTCCTCTCCCTTGTTTTCTCCCTAGACATCTTCATGCCCGTTAGTTCACCGTTTGCCTAGCATGTCCCTGTGGCGTCTCAAAAAAAAGTTTCATCGTCCCGTCATTGTTTCTGATGTCTTTCTGACCTCACATCACATTTGGTTCTCCTACTGACCTTTGATCTAGTTTGACCTTTGAAATTTGCATGTGACCTCATCTAGCTATGAATTCTGGGAAGTCAATGTGAAAAACATTGCTGCATTCATGCAAGACTGAAATTTATTATTAGAAAAAATAATTATAGAAAAACCTGTGGCAAAAATGTTTCTTTCTTATTTTTTTTCCTTTCATAAAACAGACTTGAAAGTATTATACAGGGATTGGCATTCTTCCCGGTCACTGGTAACAATAGCAATATGTGTCCAGGGACACAGAATGTTGGTTTCTAACAGACTACTTCCAAAAACAGTTTGAGAAAAAAACTGTCTGATTTTAAGTCTCTAGAGGTCTGTAATAGTTTTTACATTTTTCAGGCAGTGTAAAGTTTTTTGATAAGGCCATTTTAGGTGGCTCACTTTCTCATTAAGATATATATATAGAACCACTTTTTGTAGATTAGTATAAGAAAAATATTTACCCTGTTTTGGGGCAAATGCTACCTATTTGTGTCACCTTTTGCTGAACTGACTCACAGTTAGACAATCCATGGTTTAATGCACATGAAATTACCTATATTTTATACTGTTTCAATGTACAGGAGAAAGGTTACTGTAAACTGTGTTGCGTTGGTGCTTCTGTGAATTAAGTTGTGGTTTCATCATGAGTCTTATGGTCTTAATGTTCTTTGTTGATAAGACAAGTTTAGAATTGGTTTACTTAAAAAAGAATTTCAAAAAAAAAAAAAGTTGTTTGCTTAAAAAAAAAATTTCATGTGAGGGGAAAAAAAAAAACTATTCCAGAATAAGTTTTGTGTTGGCTTGTAAAGCATTGATGTCATTTTTTATTTTATTTTATTGTGGACTATTTAGATGTGTTTGTGTTCAGCAAAATGTGATTTTTTTTTTCTTTTAAAGAAAAAAAGTGAAAATATATAGTGCCAAATTCCAAAGGTACTTCCTTCATAGAGCTTCAGTGTGTTTCTTGTGAGAAGTAATTTGATAACATGGGTATTTTATTATGTGTTTTGTATAAATCCCTAATATTTAAAAAACAAAAAACAGAAAAAAAAAGAGGTTAAAAAGTTTGTTAACTTGCTATCCTGTGGTCTTGTTGCCTGAAATTGTTAATGTTTGTTATTTCTCTATGATGTTTTTTGTAAGACATTGTATAAGTGCCCATGTCTCACTTTTTTAACCACTCTGCACATCGATGCTGTGACGGCAACCTCACAATGTATTTTCTTCATAATATATGGAAACCTCTAAGGTGAGAAAGTTTTGAACTTTTAACCCTTTCTACCCAGAGCTATCTGGAATGTTGATAACTTTTATACTGTCATCATTTTACTTTGTTTTGGGGTGATTCTAATTTGGATTCCCCCACCCCTTCATTTATCTTCTCTGAGTTGTTTTTTTGTCTTTACTACTTTTTTATCCTTTGGTTGAGATCCAAAAGAAAAAAATCCACAAAGCAAATCTGAAAGAAAAATATATATGTAGTTTTAATCCTCTCCATTGTTTTTTCCCTACAACATTTTTTTTTTTTTTTAGATTATTTCTGGTCATTTTTAAAAGAAGAATTCTTAATGTGCTGCTGGAATTCCTTCTGTTTAAAAACAGTTTATTAAATAAACCTTCTGAGAGGGATGGTGGATAGATTCAGCACCTGACTAAACCTTACATTCTGTATGCTTTTGAGATCGGATTTAGTGGTATGTTCCAGTTTAGAAGATTTTCATATACTGTTCAGTTAAATGACTTGAAAATGGGGTAGTCTTTTAAGGTATTTTTGCTTTTGTTTCGTAAATACTCCTAATTAATATTTCTAGTCAGCCATTGTCCTGGGGATTTCTCTGACTCCAATGGATACCTCTGAATAAACAAGGTGTCTGGTGTTAGCTGACAGTCCTGTCCCTAGCCTTTAATTTTTTTAAATTAAATGCATGTACTGACCATATAAGTAAAACACAGTTTTTAATCGCAGTTACTGACCAAATACCTAGCATCAGTTCCTGCTGCCACTTTTTAAAGTGCCATATTGCTTTGACTTTTACTTCACCTGAACAGATCTGCTGCTGTCCTGACAAATCCCAAGGTCATCCCTGCTGCCCCAACACAAATTCCTGCTTTCCTGAAAGCAGGCCCTGGAAGCTTCTTTGTCCCTAGTGGAGTTCAGAAACTGCTGGCCCCCTTTCCTTCCTCCTCTTCCCACTCACCACCCCACTTGGTTTAATGTGTGTGTGGATGTGATAGCCCAGGGATGGAAAGGACTAGCCTCATGATGCAAAAAAAAAAGTTTCCTTCTTACGGCACGTGCACTTATAATGAAATGATTTGTATTATCCTCACACGTGTTTACTACTGCTGGGGCCTTCCTTCATCCTCCGAGGGCTATTTTGTACTTCCTGCAGCAATGAGCTGAAACAAAAGTTATCGCACATGTCTCTCTCATCTATAGTATATGGTGGTGTGTAGATACATGAGAACACCGTCTGAATTACTTAGATTCATTCTGAAGCTCTTCATTTACAAATTTCTACAGAGATCTCAAAACAGACTTTTTGCGTTTTTTTCTTTTTTCCCACTGAAGCGAACTGCCCTCTTTTCCTTCCACCCACCTGCATCTCCCCCAGGGAACTGAGTGCAGCTGTGTTCAGGGTGGGCACTTTAAGTTGAGTGCTTCTTATTTTGCAGGCAACCAAGACACAGTTAGGGGGAAAGTCCATTCTTTCTGGGTTTTGGAAGGGGAGGGGGCTTGGGGCATGTTTCATTGTTAAGATGATAACCCTCCTCAGACACAAGTGGTCCTTTCGGTCACTTTGTCTTATAATATCAAAAGGAAAAAGCTGCAAGGGTGCAGGGCCTATGCCAGAAGAAACACACAGGGAAATGGCTTTTTTAAAAACCAAGTGTAGAGAATAGTCCTTTTTAAACTAAATTAGAGAATTGTGATAAAACGGCAGCCCTCAAGGCGTGAGGAGTTCATCTTTCTTTCACCATAGGGGTTCTAGTTCTTTGGCTTGTGCGACTCTGGACTCATCTTACTGTTTGTTTTTATTATTATCTTAAGTGCTAATTAACAAGAAAAAATAAAATTTTAAAAAAACCTGTAGTTTCATTACCTTTTTGAATAATGTCATACAAAAAAAATGTATTTGTGTTTTTTTGTGCTGTGGGAATTGTTGTTTGTAGATTAATAATATCATTTTGTTTAGAATTACAAAATAGTTTTTAAATATTGTCTGAGAAAAGCCAAAGTTAATGCAACCTAGTGGAAACTGTAAGACCATTGAGTATTGTTTGTTTTATTGATGCATTTGGATTTTGTTGTTTGATGGAATTTGAGCCAAAAAAAAAAAAAAATGCAGGCTTTCCTATTTCTACAATTGATTGTACTTATTATGCATTTTGTACCAGTGGAACTTTTTATACTGGAGATTAAAAAAAAAATGGAAATTTTTGTGGCTTACTCTAGTGGGCCCCCTGACAATGACTGATTTCAAGTTTGATTTCTGGTTGATAGAAAGAAAGTTGCTTTTCTTTTGAGAATTAAAAACTTTGGCTTGATTTCTTTTTTCCCTTTGCTTATATCTAGCATTAGAATTTTGTCTTAAAATACAGCGGTAAGTTTCACTTTTTATTCTGTATTGTGCAGTTACACAATAAGGTAATTAAGATTTAGAAGTACTCAGTCACTTTAAGTGGATAAATGTATTAGTTAAAACTTTAGGGGTTTGCTTTTTTGCTGTTTAGATCAAAGTTTTTTCTGATTCTTCTGTCCTCATTGTGAACATAACCGTGTAGTTGAAACAGTCAAACTTATTTTTGTAACGTATGTTATTGTGTGATGCAGTTTTTTGCTTCTGTCTCCAATATTAAACCATTTTCCTAATACTTGTTTCTCTCTCTGCGTGTTGTATTGTTGGTAGTCATTACATGTTGGTGATACATCTACACACCTCACTGTTTCACGTATCTGTTTTTTTCTGTATGTTGTGTGAAGATACAGTCGATTCCACCTAAGTGAATATCTGATTTTGGGGAGGGGAACTGCACACCAGCCACCTCTGATTTATGTACAATGGCCCATTTTAACCACTGCTTCCCGGGTTCTTCCTTATTTCTGTGATTCACCTGAATAACTGCCTACACAGCGGGATTTTCCAAGACTTTTATGGTCTTCTGACCACACTGGGACATTTCACCTCCTGGTCTCTCCTCACTCCCCTCTCCCTCTGTCATGGGTGTACGTATGCAGCACTTAACATTCATTTCAAAGTTGTTGCTTTGCTGCATAACCTTAAGAAATGTCTATCTACCCACAGGTCCAAAGGCATAACATCACAGACATGCTCTTCTTAGAAACTAATCTTAAGTTTAAAAGAGGTGAGCTCTCGAGGGCAGGAAAAATAAACTTACCTGGTGAATAGAAGATGTGAAAAGAGTTAAGTCTACGTGTTGCCATCAACCAAGACAGATATGTAGAAAAGTAATTTAAATTATTTTTCAGAGCTAACTGAATCCAGGATCAACTTTAATTATTAAAACTAATGAAAGAAAAAAAATATGTCCAAGTACTCAAATGGAAGCTCTACTCAGTCGGGTGGGGTGGGAGGGGGAGGAAATCAAGTTCCTCACGCTTCAGTCTTCATAATCTGTGGTCCATTTCCAAACGAAAGTCAAGAATGCCCTATGCATCCACACACCCCCTCCTGAACGAGCACATGTGTTTTAAAAAGCCTTGTCCCCTATCATCCCAACCCATTACCAAAAGGGAACTAAAGAAAACACGATTCCTTTGTATGCCCTCTACAACTGAAGCCACAGGCCCGACCTTTCCTGCCCATCTCTTATGCTCAGGAATCTGATTGCTCTCCAAGTGCTCTTAAAAGATTCCATTGATGTTTGCTCCCTATGTCTTAGCTCTCCAACTTTTTAGATGCACAAGCCCGTCTGACTCAGGCCTGCAGCACCAGACAGCCTTCCTCTGGCTGCCAATAAGATTCTCCCTGCAGGTGCTCAGGCCCTTCACCTTCTGGCTTCCACAGCCCCTCTGATCCCTAGATTGTCTTTTCTAGTTGGCTCAACAACTGAGGGGCCTGGTGAGGTGGAAGAAAGGAGGCTCTTTCCTCCATAGGCCGAACACCTCAGTGGAATGACTTCAGCAGCTCCAAACTTGCACAGATGGGAGCTGCCTTCTGCCACTACTATTGTAAATCTCATCAGTTTGCCTCTGAAAACCCACAGCTTACATTAGTGGGAAAAGATGGCTAAGGGTGTGGTTTTCCTTGGTGTTTTTTTTGTTTTGTTTTTTTGGTGGGGGGTGTAAAGGAGGGGATAAATGGGGTAGGTAAAGAGGATGAGCAAGTGTTTATTTTTAGAATATGTAAGATATATATATATATATATCCACTTATCAAAAGGCAAAATACTCATGCTAAGTAAAAGAAGGGAAAGACAAAGCCAGTTTTTCTGTTGTTCTGGAAAAACAATAAAAATGATAATTCTCCAAAGAAGGGAACAAAAATGCTACGTTCATTAAGCACTCATGACTGTAAAGCTAATCCCTGCTTAAATTCATACTTATTTTGATTCTGTAAAACATGGCTACAGTGTTAGCAAGGTGTATCCGTTTACCAAGCACGGACCACCTTGGGAAGTGACAGAACTGTCAACGTTTACCTTGCTGATGGGAACCACGTGTGCCCAGCCCACAGCAGCTGTGAGCAGGCCGTGGTCTGGGACTCTTAGCTGGCAGGCTAGGAAACACAGTGAATAGAAACGTACTGTGAATCATTCCTGATAAGTGAATAAAACATTGCGACCAAACCATCAGCTTATTCACTTATCAGGAATCGACTGTTCTGCTAATGCACTGTTTTTGTTTTTCATCTCTGTTGTAGTTCACTATTTTTGCTGTGTTTTGTTTTCTCCTCTCATGCTTGGGCAAAATCACGGGGAATATATCTTCATGTGATCATGAACGTTTATATCGAGTGAAAATGATATCTTAACAAAATCTATGCACTTGCTATCAGGAACACAATACTGGATGTGTCTTATATATATTGAACTATATAGTACTCGATTTCTTAAATAAAGTTTAAGAAAGGACTCTGTTGTGTGTAATGTTAATGTGATTATTTTCAAAACAGTATTTCTAAGGGGTATTTTTGTTCTTTTAAGTCTTGAGTGATACAGGATATTTTTCATTAAAATTATATCACTGGCTTTATGACTTACTATTCAATAAATTGACTTTGGAAACAAAATGGATTGGGGGGAAGTTCTTCTGAGTGCATTTAGCAAGAGACATCTGGAAAACCTTTCTGGTGTCCATAGGAAATCTCTATCCAGGGCACTGTGGGGGGCATAACAGCAATCCCTGCACTGCCAAAAGGACCCTGGAAAGCATCCAGAATCAGCCCTAACCTAGAAACCCCCTCTGCCTTTCTGAATAGTATCTCTAGGCTCAGAAGAAAAGGGGGGAAAGGCATATCCAAGAATAATGCTGGTTTGCATCAATGCTTTTCCAAAATGATGTGAC